TACCACCCTCTCCGTGCTGTCCAACATGGTGGCCACCAGCCCCGTGTAACTACTGAGCACTTGAAGTGCAGCTAGCGTGGCTGAGGAAGTTAACTTTTAATTTTACTTAATTTTAATGAATAATGTGTAAATTTAAGAATTAAAGTGCCTTTAAGTATGTTTGGAATACCTTGGGCACAGGGATCTATTGTTTCAACTTTATGACTCCAAATGCAGATCAAGGATTTCAGACAAAAATTTAGCATCCAAATTGAGATGTGCTAGAAGTGTAAAAGACACACCTGATTTCAAGAACTTTACAGGAAAAAAAAGAAGGAAATACCTCAGTAATTTTTTTATATTGATTACAGATTGAAATGACAATATTATGACTATACTAAGTAAATTGTATTACTAAAATTAATTTGACCTATTTCTTTTTACTTTTTTAAACTGATAAGAACAGATACTACACTTGATATTAGCCAAAAGGCCGAGAAGCGATCTTTTTACTTTTTTAAATGTGCCTACCAGAAAATTTAAAATGTCACGTGTGGCTCACATATTTCTACTGGACAGCGCTGGTCTAACTCAGCACCACTGCTGAGCTAATGCATGTAAAGTGCCTGACACACAGTAAGCACTCAGCACATTTGTAAAATCCCATGCTCTTCCTAATCACTGGAATGTTTGGTGTCTTCCAAGATACTTTTAGCTTGGTGTACTATATAAACCCACTTTTAAACAATCAACAATTATATCTGATATAAAATATAAATCGAAAGATTCTCCTTGTGTTTATCAGCCCCAAAGCCATTCAAGGATATGATATTAATTCCATTTTCTTTCAAATAAAGAACCTTAGGTATTATTAATTTACTCATTTACAAACATGTATCAGGCGCCTGCTATATTTCGAAGACTGTACCAGGATCTGGGAATACAGTGTGAGCAAAACCACACATAGGGTTCCTATGCTCCTCAGAAATAGGCACTCAGGGTCTAATATCTGATATTCCTATTTAACTAATTATAAAAAACAACTAAAAGGTCCACTCCTTTGATCAATAAGTAAACTGTTTTATCAGTGGGTAAAAGTGAGTAAGACCATCAAAACAGACTTATTTCACTATATTATTTATATATGTGTTAATTCAACTTATTTGAGGTAGTACATATAGAAAATTTCAAATACTAGTACTTCTGGAGTTGTCAGAAAAAATAGTTTCTTATTTTTATAGAATCTAGTTTACTTTTTAAACCTCCACATGATAATTGTTAACACTTACTTAAATATTTATGTGAAAAAAACAACTTATGGGGCGCCTGGGTGGCTCAGTTGGTTAAGCGTATGCCTTTGGCTCAGGTCATGATCCTGGGGTCCTGGGATGGAGCCCCACATTGGGATCCCTGCTCAGTGGGGAGTCTGCATCTCCTTCTCCCTCTGCACCACCCCCATGCTCATGCTCTCTCCCTTGCTTGCTCTTTCTCAAGTAAATTAATAAAATCTTTTAAAAAATGTTTTTTAATTTTTATTTTTAATATTTTATTTATTTGTTTGAGAGAGTGGACAGGGAGAAGCAGACTCCCCATGGAGCAGGGAGGGAGCCCAACTCGGGGCTCGATCTCAGGACCTCGAGATCATGATCTAAGCCAAAGGCAGATGCTTAACTGAGTGAGCCACCCAGGTGGCCCAAAAAACTTATGGTGTTTTTTTTTTAAAAGGATGTAATTTCACTTCATTTGAAATAATGGTTATTAGTTTCTCAAGGTTATTAAAAGACAAAATATTTGTTAATCTTAAAAATTTTAGGAGCACCTGAGTGACTCAATCCAACCCTTGGTTTCGGCTGAGGTCATGATCTCAGGGTCCTGAGATCGAGCCCCAAGTCGGGCTCCATGCTGAGCATGAAGCCTGCTTGGGATTCTCTCTCTCCCTCTCCCCACCCTCCCCCCACTTGCACACTCTCTCTTAAAAAAAAATTTTTTTAATAGGGTCTGGGGCGCCTGGGTGGCTCAGTCAGTTGCGCGTCTGCCTTCAGCTTGGATCATGATCCCGGGGTCCTAGGATCAAGCCCTGCATCAAGCTCCCTGCTCTGCGGGAAGTCTGCTTCCCCCTCTCCCTGCTGCTCCCCCTGCTTGTGCTCTCTCTCTGTCAAATAGATGGATAAAATCTTTAAAAACAAATAGAGTAAGGGCGCCTGGGTGGCTCAGTCGGTTAAGCATCTGCCTTCGGCTCAGGTCATGATGCCAGGGTCCTGGGATTGAGACCCACATCGGGCTCCCTGCTCCACGGGAAGCCTGCTTCTCCCTCTCCTCCTGCTTGTGATCTCTCTCGCTATCTCTCTCGAGTAAATAAATAAATAAAATCTTAAAAATAAATAAATAAATAAATAGAATAAAATAGGGTCTAAATCTAGACTGTCACCTGTTTGGTATATCAGGTAAGCTAAGAATGGTTTTTACATTTTCAAATTACTAAAATAAAAGAATACTTTGTTACATGAAAAAATGATATAAAATTCAAATTTGGAGGGTTATAAGTAAAATTTTCTTAAAACACATCCAGACTCACTTACTATAAGTATTGTCTACAGCTAGTTTTGACTGGCCTGCAAATCCTAAAATAATACTATATGGCTCTTAACAAAAAAAGTTGGCCAATCTCTGGTCTAGAGACTCATACAAAAGTGTACAATGACAATTTCTGAAAAATGACTGGCAGACTAAGGTCTCTTCAATCAACTTCTGTACTGCCTCAGAAACTCTCATTTTCACTATTTTTCAGATCAACTACCATGCCTGATTGTGAAGACAACCTTGTCAACTCAGTATCTGTCAATACAGTACCCACACATTTCTGGGGCAAAGAGAGATGGCAAAACATTATGATTTTGGAAAACTAACAGTAGTAAAGTGCCTAAGAATTCATTCCTAAAGGAACTGAATGGAAATCATTTGCCTTGAATTAAAAAAAAAATTTTTTTTTGAAGTCTGTACTCCAGAAACCCTGTGCAAACTTGCCTTTGTTAACTCAGGAGCAAGTGAATGTAGCATAACATATCCAAGTATATTTATTATGTATGCTACTTACTAAATTACAAGGTGGAAATGCTCATATCATTATCCTTTAAAGAACCTGAACAACTGGGCGCCTGGGTGACTCAGTTGGTTGAGCGACTGCCTTCGGCTCAGGTCATGATCCTGGAGTCCCGGGATCGAGTCCCGCATCGGGCCCCCTGCTCGGCAGGGAGTCTGCTTCATCCTCTGACCCTATCCCCTCTCATGTGTTCTCTCTCTCTCATTCTCTCTCTCTCAAATAAATAAATAAAATCTTTAAAAAAAAAAAAAAGAACCTGAACAATTAAGGAACACTGAAGGCTGGAAGACAAGACATAAACCCTTTTTTCTTATTTTGGTTAGTTATGGTGACGAACCCTTGGTGATGATGACACAAGGATAAGCATTTATATGTTCACTTTACCAAGGGAATCCAAGCCTGAGAAGCCCTACAACAGCATCTTTGCACACAAGGGAAGAACTAGTAGTTGGTTTGTTTTTTCCCATTTTATATATGGAAGGATCACTGACATGAAAGATGGAATCGCTGGCCACACAGGCATCTTTTCAATCAGCATCTGAGATGTGCAGGGTGCTGCGCTCTCTCCTCAAGGCTTTGTCCTTCCTCCACAGTGGAAGCAGTGTTGAAAATGGAGAAAAATATCCCTGTGGTTGACAAGACAGTCCCAAGCAAAGTGCGGGACACTGAAAAAGGACAGGCCGTACAACAAGGACAGGCCAGAAATGTGACTGTGCTTTTGATGGCAGAAATTAAAGCTGAGTATTAACTCTTTAATTCTCCAGATGAACCAAGAATGCCATTTGGAGTCCCAAAGTTTGAAGGACATAAATAGCTTCATCTGAACACAAACTTCTAGATACATGAAAAACGCTATTATGCCAAATTAATTCAATCTAACTAATTAGAGAGCAGGAAGTTCCTTCAATTATTTTATGTGCTGTCTGAGAAACACACTTGAATATGAGTACAGATTTCATTAATTGCAGTTCATTATTTTCCAGATTAGTTACTAAACTCGCATCAGAAGGTCAAAGACAGCAATTCTGTCAGCTGCCACCTCTTCCAGTGTAGTATCTTTGCATTTCTGGAACTCAGAAATTGATTACAAACAAAAACAAATCTCCATAAAAATGAGAAACATAAATCTTTATGAATATCTTCAAACCAAAACATTCTGTAAGATATAAGAATCTTCGTTTTTAAATCTTCAGAATAAACTGCTAACTTCTACCCTACAAGGAAAGATCCACAGAGATCTTTCCAAATATTGAAATAGAATGCCAAAAAATAACAGCAGCTTATCTGAAAACCTGCTGACTCCAAAGAACAAGTTAATAGGCATTAATTTTTTCGTTAGAGTCTCACCACGGTTATACGTTTGCATCTCTCCATGAGGGAGGGTATTGAACACTCTTGTTTGAAAATGTCAAGGACACACTGATTAAAAGTACTTTTTTGAGAATAATCCTTCCTTCATTACACAACTTCTGCCTCTCTTCCACCTAACAGTGAAAACACAGCAATGACTGGTAGGAACAGGACCTATCCCATTCCTCAGTTCTTAACCTGGACTATTTTTATATTCTCAAAATCTTATTTTCTGAAAACAGAAGTGGCAAAAATTCCACGGTGTTCTTTTTTCTTAAGAGAGCACCCCGCTATCTCTAACTCATCTTACTTATTCACAGCTGCTACCATTCTCTTTGTTAATTTCATCTCTGTCATTCTCGGTGCCTTCCACCCCCTGCCTTAGCAAGCCACCCTCATACCGTTCTCCCGCGTTGGTGCTGCCATCCCTTGAATGCTTATGGAGTCAGCTCTCTTAGTCATTGTTTGGTCAAGCTATAAATAACTCCTCTAGTCCTTCCTCATAAATCATTTCTGACGTTATCCCCTGAAATAAATCCAATTGGTCAATGGATTTCCCATAGTAACATACCCAGAACCAAGTGCAGTAATCTAAGTGTGGTCTAATAACACCAAGGGTGGCATTCAGGTGAGTCCGTGGGGGTGTCTTCGATATTGTGACTACTTCAGAGAAGGACTTTAAGCCTCCAAACTAAAGAGGGACAGAAATATAAAAAAGGAAGAAGTTTTAATATCTTTCATCACAGTTCGGTGGGAAATGGAGAGAGAAATAGCTTTACAAATGATAAAAAGATTAAGTTGGGGCAGGGTAGAAAGAAAATGTGCTATCATACATGGTCTATTTGGTTACCATGTACTGTTTCTGTTGATCCTCAAACCATTTGGGGGTTTTTGGGGTTTTTTGTGCTGTTACACATTATATGTCTTTAGCAAGGTTACTATCTATTATCTCTAAGTCTTATGCAATATTAATATCATATTTATTCTTTCCTATACTGTAGAATTGGTCCAGATTCCTTTTAGGCATATGCACTGATTTCTATTTTTTCTGGGTTCTCTCTTTGATGTTATTCTGTAACACAGTTTTTTAGTCTGGTATTGATTATTTAATGACTATTTATACAGGCCATTGAAATGAGTGCACTAACAAAGCACCAGCAGCAAACAAAACATAGAATCAAAATAGAGAGCAAGCTTCACAGTACTTGTGCATTTCTTTACGCTACTGGTTAAGTCATACCATTAGATACCTCACACAGAGCTATGGCAAAGCCAGGCAGTGAACAGAGTGGTCTAGGAACGCTGGTCAGCATGGATCTGTTTTAGGCTTACAAGATTGGGTACACAAAGAAAGGCCACAGACAGGGTGTCCCTTTATTTCCATAATGTATCTAACAAAGTCTCCCATGAGCTCTTTGGTAGAAAGAGCAAGAAATGTGGACTGGAGGTGGCAGTTACTGAATATGCAGAGCTGAAACGTTGATCTGTCACCCTGTGACTTGAGGAGTAATCTTGAGTTGCCTACTAAAGGGTCCTCTCTCAGGCCCTCCAATGTTCAATATTTTGTTTATGACTCAAGTACAGAGAGACTATGCCCTTAAAAAGTTTGCAGGTGATAGCTAAAACACATGTATTTTTTTACATAATTACTCAAGAAATATCTTGACATTCTAGGAGCATTAAAACAAAACTAGGATGAAAAATTTTAGAAATCAAGCTAAAGTTCCTTATTTAAGTATTTTTACACATCGATTAGACAACATAATAATAAAAGAGAAGAACTGCATTGCCAAGAGTGTAAACAAATAAACAAGCAAATAAACAAGCAAACACAAAAGGGAATGCTAACTGACCAGAGGCACAACAAGCTAATACTGGCCTTTAAAAAAAAGTCCAATCATATGCTACTTTGGTAGAAGTACGTTGTTTAGAAGAGGGAGATGATAATTGTACCATTTTCAAGCATGGGCTTGAAAATACTTCTGGGCTCCCCACTCGAAGCAAGACCTGGACAAGACAATTGAAGAATGATGAAGCACTTATTATCTGAGATACAGTGGGCTAATCTATAGCTGTTAAGTCTGGAGCAAACTTCCTCTTCCCCTCCCTCTAACTCCTGGGTAATAGCAGAGGAAACTCTGAGGCAAAGACTGGTTGGAAATAAACTGATCTTTTTCCTGGAGGACTTGGAGGTGCCACAAGGAGGGGCAGGGCAGATCATCAAAAAAAGTAAGACCCTCAACTTTAGGTATCAAATCTGATTTCCAAGTGAATCAGATGGCATTATATTACATAAAGACTACTATTTTAAAAAATTGGGGGCGGGACACCTGGGTAGCTCAGTTGTTAAGCGTCTGCCTTCGGCTCAGGTCATGATCCCAGGGTCCTGGGATCGAGCCCGCATCAGACTCCCTGCTCGGCGGGAAGCCTGCTTCTCCCTCTCCCACTCCCCCTGCTGTGTTCCCTCTTTCGCTGTGTCTCTGTCAAATAGATAAATAAAATCTTAAAAAATAAATGAATAAATAAATAAATAAAAATTTAAAAATTGGGGGTACTAAAAAAAATCTAACGAATACAGGATTGTTCTTATTGCTGTTATTTTGAAATCCCATTGGCATTACAGTGCTCCTATGAAACACCACTCAGATGGCAACAACTTAAAGCATATTTAAAGTGGCCCTAGTAAGGGAACCTCTATTTGACAATGTCATTTAAAATTATAATTTACTGCTCTTAGAGCTTTCTCAGAAATAGTCAATAAAAATGAGATGAACACAAGTGTCTTTGACCAACTAAATCCTAATGGTAAGCTTAAGTTGTCCCCCCATTTAGGAATAGTTCTTTAGTGGAACTTGCATCAATCTAGGAAAGGAAGTTCATAATTATGTCTTGATATCGCAAGTACCCACTCAGATCTGATACTCTCACCTGTAAACTGTAAACATAGTGCTTTATACCACTGGGCGACACTGACACAGACAAACTACCTAATATTATAATCTGAATATATGTCAATGGTCAACCAATACACATTTCGGATCAACTATGCCCCTGCCCTCAAGGATTACATTCTAAAGAGGAGCTAATCAATAAACATATAAACATAACAATAACATCCAATGAAAAGATTAAATACGGGAATAGTACTGATGTGGTGGAAGCTGTTGTTTTAGTTTAATTGGTTGAGGCCATTCTATACGCAAACGTACTTCCTTAGACTGGCCTGTCTTGACCATTCTAAATAGCAGACCACTCTACTAGAGACCTGGTAGCCATGCAAAGACTTCATGAAAGAGTATTCCAAGTAGAAGGAAAGGCAAAGGCAAAAAATTCTTGAGACCAAAATGAACTTCATGTGTTCGTGAGATAAGAATGAAAAAGGGGTGCCTGGGTGGCTCAGTCAGTTGAGCGTTTGCTTTCGGCTCAGGTCATGATCCCAGAGTCCTGGGATCAAGAGCCCCTCAAGAGTCCCGCATCAGGCTCCCCGCTCAGTGGGGAGCCTGCCTCTCCTTCTCCCTCTGCCCCTCCCTGCCCCCTCCTAGTGTGCTCTCTCTTGATCTCTCTCAAATAAGGAAGGAAGGAAGAAAGGGAGGGAGGGAGGGAGGGAGGGAGGGAGGGAGGAAGGAAGGAAGGAAGGAAGGAAGGAAAGAAGGAAAAGGCCAACATGTTTGGTGAACGAAGAGGAAATAAAAGGCATAAAGATTAAAGGTCAGGGGTCCAGGTCATATAGGACACTGTAAGGCACAGTAAGGAATTTAGATTTTATTCAGTGAGAAGCAGTGAAGATTTCAAGCCATGAACTAAAGTAAGACTCTGGACGGTCACTCTGGCTACTTCGTGAATAAAAGACTTTTATGAGGCAAAAAGTGTCAGACAGACCTGTATGTAGGCTGCTGTAATCATCTGGGCAAGAGACCAGGGTGGCAAGAATGAAGAAATGTAGATGACCGGGAGTCATGGATTAGAAGTGGTACCTATGAAATCTTACTGGTGGAGTCTTTGTGAGGTTTGAGCAACTGGGTGGATATTTGTGCTATATACTGAGATGGGCATGTATTATTTTAAAATATTTTATTTATTTATTTGAGAGAGAGAGAGAGAGAAACAGAGCACAAGCAGGGGGAGGGGCAAAGGGAAAGGAGAAGCAGACTCCCCACTGAGCAGGGAGCCGGATGTGGGACTGGATCCCAGGACTCTGAGATCATGATCTGAGCTGAAGGCAGATGCCTAATAGACTGAGCCACCCAGGCGCCTGATGGGCATGTATTTTTAAGTATTTTGTGTGTTGGGGGTAAACAGACTTATGAGCTGAAACCAACAGTAATGTTCTGGACTGGTAAAATGTGAATGCTTAATTGATTTACAAGTAGAAAAGCTTAATGGGCATTTAGCTCCATGAGGCCAGAGCTCAGGGGCAAAGTCTGGGCTAGAGATTGAAATATGAACATTGTCAATGCAGAAATAGTTAAAGCCATGGAACTGAATGAGATGACCCATGGAGAGAAGGCCCAGGATGGAGCTCTGGGGCACCTGAATGTTAGCAGCCTGATGGAATAAACAGTCCCAGAAAAGGCAACTGAGAAAGACTGAGCGGTCAGCAGGAGAGAAACCATGCAAATGTCACCACACTGAAGCCTAGAGATGGAAGTGTATCAGGTATGATGTCAAGTCAGAAGAGGACCCTGGAATGGGTGCAGGCAAGATGCAGCTCCCTGGTGACCTTCAGGGAAGGCCCTTTGGTGGAGTAGGGGTTACAAACCAATTGGACCATTTAGCTCCACCACTGGGCATCTTCATTAAGACCAGCTTTGTATTTATATTTTTATTTATTCATGAAATATGAACTATCTGGGGCCACTTTCTTCAATATCTTTGCTTATCTATGCTCAAAAGAAGTAAACCAAATGGACAAATATTGCACAAAAGATCTTCAAAATATCACAAGATCGCCTTTCTTAAACTGGACATTACAAAATGCAGTTATCTGCCATCACTACATTTCTTTCTAACACATGATTATTCCTCTCATATCCAGAAGAACCAGTCATCTACCAGCAAAACAGTAAAAACAATTTATTGTAGCAGGTGATCTGACTTGCCATATCAAAAACTCAAAGTAGTTTTTAAAAACTAACTCTAACTATAGCAGTCTGATTCAGTAACTTCTAATGCCATGCCAATTTCCTTTAACTTCTAGAACTCTGTCTTCACCAAATAGCGACTGAAAAAGGGTGGTTATCCAACTATACGTTTTGATAAAATCACCTTGGGTGCTTATAAACACAGGTTGTAAAGGCACCCCCAGATGGGGTCTGGGTTAGGAGGTCAGGCTGTTATTGTTTTTAAAGTTACCTTCTTAAAAAGCCACCATGGAAATTCTGACAGAGAGTCCATGCGTCGTACATTACAAAATAATGACGTGTAAGTTTAGGACAGAATAACATATGCCAACAGCAAATCCTTGGGAAAAATCATTTTTGCCTAAGCCCCAACCAAGTATTAGACTTGCTATTTCTTGTAGCTCTCGTGGTCCTAGATTCTTTGGTAACTGCCAAGTACCCTTTATGTGCTTAGTCAAATTTAGTTCAAACATCCAAAATCGTGATCTTTATTTTTCTCATTCAGTATGTGTCCATGTCTGCTTAAGTACATGTTTATACAATGCTAGATTTAAAATATTATATATCTGTAGAGCAGCCTTACAAAACTAATACCACCACCCTTGAATATGCATTCATAAACTCAGAAAATTCTTTTAAATAGTTAAGGTCTCGGACAAGGACTCACCTGCATTTCTGCAACTTGAATGTTTTCAATGAATGTGGATAAGCTGATGTCAAAAGACCTATTTCAACAACTGAACTTGCACTGTATGTGTTTTTTAAGGAGTATAAATAAATCCTCATTTATCATTTTCTGCTGAATTCACACCTACATAAGGCTGGAAATTACATTTCCAAGAGGCTTCCCATTCACCATTGCATAAGAGCAGTTTCCTGATTATGTGGAAAACCCTTTAAGATTTTCTCTAAAAACTTATTTGAAGGCTGGGCAGAGAGTTTCATGAAAAGGGGGAAATAAGACAAGTGATCACGTTTAATATTTTAAATGAAGGAACAGGTAAACCACAGCAGAGGAAAAAGAGGTGGAGAGGGAAGGACAGTGATGATATAAAATTGTTTGAAATAAGAAACGAAATCAAGAATTAAAAATAGAATTACATTTTCTGTTTGGCAATACACAAACAACGCTAAGTGCACTTCATAAATTTTACTATTGTTGCTCTAAGTAATATTACCATAAATCACATTAGCAGTGTACTCGGCATTTTTTAAAAGCAAAAAGGATTGAGACCGTCAATAAGTTTCAACAGCTCTGTTACCTCTGAAGAGGGTGGAGGAGAAATGATCACAAGCTTTCAGTGGACCTAAAAGCCCAGGTCCAAGGCCCCCCACCCCTGCTACCCCTCTCCCTCCAGTGTCATTGCAACACAGAGCATCATTCCGCCAGGAATGAGAAACTGTTCACTGTTGCTTTCCTGATGCTCTTACCTGATGTGCGAGGGGAGAAGGCTGTTTGCCCCTTTTCTCATCACGGACAGGGAAAAGAGACTTCAAGAGCTTTGGCATTTGTGGCACAAAGGATTTTACTGGATTCAAGTAGGAGGCCGCGAGGCTACTAAGTCCTGTCAACAATATTGAAAGGAAAAGAGATCAAATGGAAACAACAATGTAGACATTTTCTCTCCCATAAATTTGCCAAATTTCATTTGTAGTGAATCTAATAATATAAATCCTTTTTTTTTTAAAGATTTTTAAAAATTTATTTATTTGACAGAGAGATAGCACAAGTAGGCAGAGCGGCAGGCAGAGGGAAAGGGAGAAGCAGGCTCTCCGTCGAGCAGGGAGCCCAATGTGGGGCTCGATCCCAGGACCCTGGGATCATGACCTGAGCTGAAGGCAGCCGCCCAACCGAATGAGCCACCCAGGCACCCCTAATAATATAAATTCTTAAAAAGTACCCTTAAAAAATGTTAGAAAAACATAGTATTATCATAGCTACCCTCAAACACAATGTTGTTTCCTTTTTCTAATTAAATAACAGCAATTAGGGTATTTCTAAAACATTCTAATATCCAATGTTCCTATTAGTATCAGAAGGGTAATCCAACCCCAGTCCTCGTCACTAATTGGTTCACATACTAACTTCTGCCCTAGAATAAGATGGGGTTTTTCATTTTTAAATCACATAGCTGATGACACACATGTATAGCTCTCTATCTAGACTTTAACCTCTTTGAAGTCAGGACTATGTCTTCTACAACTTTAGTTTTTCATATCTACTTATTGAATAATGATGAAATGGACCTTTTAGAAAAAGGGTGATGTCTGGGTTGCTTTCACAAGAAAGGGATTGATGCCCTGAACCAACCTGCTCTAAATTACCAAAGGCTGGGATCAGACATGCAGACAATGCCTACGATAGAAGATTTCTTTCCTATTAGTGAATAAAACTAAATTTCTAGGGAAATGTAATCTAAAACTCATAAATGATAAAACACTGTATCCACATAACACTTTAAAAAGAACAAGCAAGTCAACCTGAGAATTTGTGTGTGGTACTGTCTGAACAGAAACACACAACCACCTGCATGCCTCTACCCCACACTGACCCCTGAAATGACTCCAAGTTCATTGGTAATACAGTTGGTACATGGACCCATACAGTTCCAAGGCTTGTATATTTTACATAAAGTAGTACAATAGTAACTCTAAGTAGACTGTGAAAAGGTAAGGATTTTTATAATCATGAGAGCAATCATTAAAAACATAAAGCAAAGAGATAACTCTAAATGCCAAGAGATATGTTAAAACTGAGTTCAAAAAAGTCAATTAATTTATAAGGCAAAAGTAGGAAAGAGAAAAACAAAACAAACAAACAGAAATAAGTTTGAGATGAATAAAGAGCCAGAAGAACATAATCATCAAAATGTTGGGGGAAAAAAAAGGACAATCTAGAGTTCTATATACAATTAATTAATTCTACACTAAGAATGACCCCTAATTAAATAAAGATCTAGCCAATAATCTATCAAAGGCTGCATATATCATAAAGAGAGACAATCAAAAAAAGAGAGCATCAGACATGATGTGTCTTCTGAGGTAAATACACAAAACTACACTTTCATTTATTCTACCTCCCATCCCTCCCTCAAACTAGCCTGAATCTGTTCAAGACCGTGGAGCTAATCACCAATTCACAGGAAATATGGTAGACAGAGAACCATGTTTAAAAAACCTCATGGGGATATAACCAGCAAAAGTAAGAACATACAGAGTCTACCATACAAAGACAGTCTCTTCAACATATACAATGCATGGGGGATATAGATAGAGAGGAACATATACATTAAACAACTCAAGACACATACCAACTCATCACAATATATGAACCTTACAGTTGGATTTTCACTCAAAATAACTAAAAAATATTTTTGATCCAACTGGAGAAATATAAATACTGACTAGATGTTTGATGATATCTAGCACTTATTTTTAAATTTTCTTAAGAGCAAAATGTTATTTGGGGGTATTGCTTTAGAGATACATGTACAAATACAGATGAAATGATATCTGGGATTTGCTTCAAATTAATCATAAGAGGGTGTACAGAAGCAGCAGGAGCAAAGATAAATCAGACTGGTGATGAACTGATCATTCTGAAGGGAGGCGGTACTTGAGGGCACATTATGTTACTCTTTATACTCTTGTATGTTTGATATATACCATAAATACCATAGTAAAAGAATTCTTCCAATGTGAAAGCAAAATAAAAACTTAAACATATAAAAGAAAGGGTCTGTCACTAACAGACGACTGCTAAATGACTGATGATGAATATAATTCACAAAAAAGAAACTAAACTCAGAAGAACAAAGTGAGATGCAAGAAGCAACAATGAGCAAAACAAAGTGGTAAATATGTAAATCAAGTAAGCATTAATTACAAATTTTTTAAATTAAATTATATTTTTTTATTATTATTATTTTTTGAGTAGGCTCTATGCCCAGTGTGGAGCCCAACTTGGGATTGGAACTCACAACCCTAAGATCAAGACCTGAGCTGAAATCAAGAGTCAGACGCTTAACCAAATGAGCCACCCAGGCACCACTATTACAAACTTTTTTAAAGATTTTATTTATTTATTTATTTGAGAGAGAGAGAGAGGAAGAGTGAGAGGGAGAGAGAATCTGAAGCAGACTTCACACTAAGCACAGAGCCCTATGCAGGCTCGATCCCATGACCACAAGATCATGACCTGAGCCAAAACCAAGAGTCAGACGCTTAACTGACTGAACCACCCAGGCACCCCACAAATTTTTTTTTAAAACAACAAATTTGGGGCACCTGGGTGGCTTAGTTGGCTAAGCCTCCAACTTGTGATCTTGGCTCATGATCTCCGGGTCGTGAGATGGAGCCCCATGTTGGGCTCAACACCCAGCTTAAGACTCTCTCTCCCTCTTCCCCTCCCCCCCCCACTGGCATGCATACATGCATGCTCTCTCTCTCTCTCAAAAAAAAAAAAAATTACAGAACTTTAAAACAAGGTGGCACTCTATGACCCAGTAATTTCACTCCTAGGTACGTAACTCAAGAGAAATGTTCACAAAATGACTTGTATAAGAACAAACTTTATTCATAGTAACCAAAAACTAGAAACAAACTAAATGTCCACAAACAAAAGAACTAATTAAAAATTATGATAAACTCAACTGTGTAAGTGAAGTTTTTCTCAACAATAAAAAATAAATTACTGAAAGATGCAATGGTATGGAGATGTAAACAGAAATGATAAATAAAAGAAGCCAAACATAAAGAGAGTATATACTGTATGATTCCATTTGTATGAAATTGTACAACAGGCAATACTAATCTGAAAGGATAGAAATCAGAACATTGGCTGATTGTGGACAGTAACTGGAGTCATATAAATCTTGTATATCTTGACTGGGATATAAGTTACACGGGTAAATACAATGGTCAAAACTCGTTAACTATGACCCATCGTCAAGGAAAAAAGCAGTCAAGAGAAATAGACCATGACATGGCCCAGATGCTGGATTTAGCAGATAAAGACTTTAAAGCAGCTTTTATACACAGGTCCAAGGAAGTAAAGAAGAATCTGATCTTAACAAATGTACAGGTAGAGAATATCAGCAGAGAAATTAAAACTTTAAAAGCAGCAGCAAGTAGAAATTCTAGAACTTTTTGAAAAGAAGAATAACTGAAATAAAATATTCTCTGGATGTGCTTAACAGAAGGTTGAAAATGGCAGGAGAAATTATGTAACCAGAAGAAACAAAATAAGATAAAAAGATGAAAAATAAAAATTTTAAAAAATCAGAGCTTCTGTGACCTGTAGGGTAATATTAAGCAATCTAACATGTGTGTAATTTGATTCTCAGAAGAGGAGAAAGAGAGGAATGGCCAGGGGGAATAATTTAATGAAATAATAACTGAACATTTCCTAAATTTGTTGAAAACTTAACTTACAGATCCAAGAACATCAATGAAATGCAAGCAAGGTAAGTGCAAAGAAAACTATACCTAAGAATATCATAGTCCAACAAAAATAGAGAAAGCTATGAAAGCAAACCAAGTAACAGAGTAAACAGATACATATTACATGCAGGGAAAGGAGACACAAATGATGACTGATTCTCAGCATAAAAGGAATCTAAAAGATAACATAAGACCTTTGAAATGCTGCTAGTGGAAAAATCCTTCTAAAAAAAGTGAAATAAAGATAATCCCAAAAGGGGAAAGCACTCTTTTCTAAGACAACTGCACAATAACTAATGCTACAGAATATTCTTTGGGCTAAAGAAAAATGATATCAGATAAATATAAGACTTCAGGGAGAACTGGCTAGTGCCAGAAAAAATTAATATGAAGAAAAATATAAAAGATTATCTATAGTCTCTTAATTTCCTTAAAAGATAGTTTGCTGTTTAAAGCAAAAAGAGTGGGGCGCTGGGTGGCTCAGTCAGTTAAGCATCTGCCTTCGGGTCAGGTCATGATCTCAGGGACCTGGGATCGAGCCCCGCATCAGGCTCCCTGCTCGGCCAGGAGCCTGCTTCTCCCTCTCCCTCTGCCCACCTCCCCCCTGCCAGCTTGTGATCTCTCTCTTTCTCTCTGTGTCAAATAAATAAATAAAATCTTTAAAAAAATAATAGTAATAAAGCAAAAAAGAGTAACTTTGTAAAAAGTGTTCATAATGTCTGTAAAAGATACAACAAAAATAGTACAAAATAAGAGGGGATTGGGAACAGGCAAAAAGAATTAAACAAGGTTCTAATATTTGTACAGTGGGAAGTGATATATTATTAATTCTAAGTAGACTATGATAAATTAAGAATCCATACTACAGTCCTTGAGCAAAGACTTTAATAAACAAACAAATACAGAAATACCAAGAAGCTAGAAATGGAAATAAAATTAACTACTAAAAAATATTTTTCAATTAACCCAAAAGAAAGCAAAAAAGAAGTTACAGTGGAGAAAAAATAGAAAGGCCAAAGAGAAACCAACAGCAATTCAAAGACATAACAATAACAATATTAGATGTAAAAGAACTAAACATGCCAATTAAAAGACAAAAATTATCAGGCTAGATTAAAAAAAAAAAGTTACACCTAACTATATGCTGTCTACAAGACAATCACTTTTAATTTAAAGAACAGGGCGCCTGGGTGGCTCAGACGGTTAAGCGTCTGCCTTCAGCTCAGGTCATGATCTCAGGGTCCTGGGATCGAGGTCTGCATCGGGCTCCCTGCTCCTTGGGAGCCTGCTTCTCCCTCTGCCTCTCTCTCTCTCTCATGAATAAATAAATAAAATCTTTAAAAAATAATAATAATAATAATAATTTAAAGAACAAATACAGGCCAAAATTTAAAAGACTAAGAAAAAGATACACCATTCACACAATAAGCAAAAGACAGTTGGTGTGGCTATATTAATCAGGTAAGACAGATTTCAAAGTAAGAGAATTCCAGAAATACAAAGGGACAGTCATAATGATAGAAATATTGCTTTATCGGGAAAAAATAACATCCTAAATATGTATATACTTAACAGAGTTCCTAAAAGAATGATGCAAAAACAGATCTGATAAAGGGAAAAACAGGTAATTTTCATGATCAGATCTGGAGAGTTAATGTCCTCTGTCTCAGTGATTGATAGAACAAATAGAAAAAAAAAATCAGTGTAACAGAATATTTAAAGAACAGATTTGAACAAGGTTATCAACCACCTTGACCTAATTGACATATACAGAACACTATGCCCCCAAACAGAATAGGTTCTTTTCAAGCATGCATAGAATGTTTACCAAGATAGAACACAGGTTCAAAAACATTCCAAAAGACTGAAATATTAAAGAGTCTTTCAGATCATGATAAAATTAAATAAGCAATCAATTAATAAAAAGAAGTTCCCCGCCCACCCCAGACATATGAAAACGAATTAACATGCTATTCCAATAACCCATGTCAAAGAATAAATCAGAGGGAAATTAGAAAATATTTTGAATAGAATGAAAATGAAAGCACCACATTCCAAAATTTGTGAAATGCAGAAAGAAACAGAGATCAATGAAACAGAAAATAAACAATAAAGAAAGACCAGATTTGGTTCTGGGAGAAGACTGAGAACACTAAAACATGTCTCAAAAGTAGTCAAGAAAACCAGAAAGAAAACAAAAATTATCAAGAATAAAAAGAAGGGGCGCCTGGGTGGTCATGATCATGACCTCAGGTCATGATCCCAGGGTCCTGGGATGGAGTCCCACGTCAGGCTCCCTGCTCAGCGAGGAGTCTGCTTCTCCCTCTCCCTCTGCCTTTCTCCCTGGCTTGTGTTGTCTCTCTTTAAAATAAATAAATAAAATCTTTAAAAAAACTTTTTTTTCCTTAAAAAAAATAAATAAATAAATAAAAAGAAGGAACATCACAACGGATCCTACAAACACTAAAAGGGCAATAGGGCACATTATAACATTTATTGAAATAAATGTTAAAATTTAGATGAAACAGAAAATTCCCTGAAAAACATAATTTATGAAAACTGACTCATAAGGAAACATAAAAAGTTTTTAAAAACCCTGTATTAAAGAAATTAAAGTCATAATTTAAAAGTTTCCCAAAGAGAAAATTCCAGGCCCAGATAGTGTCACGGGTGAATCCTGTCAAGCATTTAAGGAAGAAGCAATACTAAGTATATAAAATCTTCCAGAAAAAAAGATGGTAAGGAAATATTTCCCAAGTCATTTCATGAGGCCAATATAATCATGATACCAAAATCTAACACATTATTATGAGAAAAGGAAAGTAGATATTCATCACAGTACATATACACAAAAATCCTTTACGAAATATTAGCAAACAGACTCAAGCACATATAAAGGATAACACATCATGATCAGGTGGTATTTATCAGAAGGATGCAATATAAATTCAACATTCAAAAATCAGTGTAACTCAACATGTTCATGTTAAGACAAAAAAGGGAAAAAATCAGATGACATTAACTAGTAGTCAATAGTACGTTGTAGGAAATCCTGACTTAAACTATTTCTGAAAGGTGCTCAAATTTCATGACAGTGATTGACAAATGAAAATATAACTTACCTGGGTCAGGAGAATGGTTATTTGGGGGACAGTCAGGGAGGGATGGGGCAACTGGAGCTATTCCTCTGGAAACTGCAGTTTGCGATACATCCTGTTGACTCTCCCACCGGCCCTGTTAAGGACAAAAACAGCAGTTTTTATTCAACTGAATCAGTTAACAGAAAAACCTAAAATTATTTAAGAAAAACCTGTCATACATTACTAAAGCTTTATTCCCTTTACAAGACATGGCAGATTTGACTGTTTAAATATCTTTCTTCTTATACTTTTCATCTTCCTAGTGTTAATTTCCCAAATACTAATAATACCTCACATTTGGATATTCCCTCCAGTTCACAATCTGAAGTCTCCTCAGTTCTGTCCTAACATTCTTTTCTATACATCATGTTGCTTCCCATGAACTATGGCTATATGAAGACATCCCTTTTGAAATCGTTCCTTACGTTCTGCCTCGTAGGCTATTTCTGCTCTTCTGCCTCAAGATATTCTCTCGCTTCAGATTCTCAACTGAAACCGAGGAACAACCCCCACACTGTGAGCTGTCTCTTCTCCCTTCTCCAGGGTGTATCTTTCTATCCATTCAAATACCAGTAGTTCATGAAAGTAAAAATTCTAGAACAGTGTATTACCAAGGCTCTTGTTTTCCAGATATTAAATGGAAGTTCCAGTTAAGCACAAATCAAGTAATCACAAGTTCCTAATAATGGAAGTCTCTGGATTAACAAGTTTTATTGTACTCTCAACTTATTTTATAAATTCCCGTTGAAGAGATTTCATTGCATTATACAAGAACAACGCCAGCTGGGTGATGGATTAATTAACCAATCCAGAATGGGTGGTGAGCCACAAAAATGGTGATATCATCAATGCACTCTTAACATTAGTCCCATCTGGTAAAGAAATAAACTCCAACCAAATGTTACAAGTACAAAACCCAGTAATGGAGATGAGATTGCCAGTCTTCTAAAAGCTTTAAGTTCCCCTTTGATCCTTTAATAATCACTCTGACTTCTTTTTCATCAGAGTTAAATAATAGTATTTTATATCAGTTTAAGCTGGTATTCCCCAGATGAGTGACCCTAACGACATTTGAGTTTTCCTTAGTAATCGCCTGCAAAGTGAGTTTTCACTGCTCTTCAAGATGGATGGAGGTGAAAAGGTCCCTACGGTTTCAGATATATATTGGAAACCTATCTGCTTTTAGCAGCAACCTAAGTACTGATCATAAAATCAATAAACCTTAAGTGATCTGGCTCCTGTTTACCTCCGAGAATGCCACTTTTCCCTACGAACCCTCTCAGCACTTGATATTTAAAAAAAAAAAAAAAAAATGGTATGATGTCTTAGCATTAGGAAACCAGGAAACAAAACAGGCATGAAGAGATGATTAGGGAAACCATGAACTCTGAAAGACTTCACTGTAGGAGCATTTGTGTTACTATGAATCACACACTGATTTACATACTTTAATGTTTCATTAATGTCTTTTGCATTTAAATTTAATTGTCTGTTTGGGAAGCCGCAGCTTTGTGTACTCTGGGACATCACAATCAGGTAGCTGAACACTAAGGTCAATACTCTGGCGCTTCTCCGAGGAAGAAAAGCCTCATGCTTTGTTTACAGTGTTAAGCTCACGCAAGGTTGTTTTGAAGACAACTTACTTAATTTGAGAATACATTTATTTTTCTATTTTCGATTTTTCGTTCTTGTTTGGCAGCTGACACAGTGGCACTCTGTCCCTTAGGGAAACTAAGTAGCTGATTTGGAGTCAGCACCTCAGCCATTTGGTGTATAATGGTCCAGTGACAGACAATGTAGGTGTCATCTCTTCCCCAAGGCACACTCGGGGCTCCACTAGCTTTCCGGGTAATATTTCCCAGCTGGTACTCCTACACACAGTGTTACTAACCAATCAGAATGGAAGCAGTAACTTTTACTGTCTCATATATGCAAATATCTCAAGTGAGAACATGTGAAAGGATGCACACAGTATACACATACCACCTTAGCCAGACCACTAGCCCTGTCAGATGATGAAAAATGGAAACTCATTTCACTTCATCCATCCTACCTTAACCGTCATCTTAACCTTGAGGAATTTCACATGCTAACTGTTCCCAACCAAAGACAGGGACACAGAGTGTCTCAAATTGAGCTGGGAAAGAACAGACTCTGCTTCAGAGGGAACAACAAATTTGGATGATAAACTGGGTACAACGCTCCCTCCTCTTCCTTCTGACACCCACAGATCTCCGGGGAAATAGTTCACTGAAATCATTCACTTACTCTTTTTCTCCTGTAGTGCACGTCCATTCTCTTGCCAAAAATGAAACCTGTGGTTCAGTGTCTAACTACACACACTGCCCCTCAGGGACAAGGCAATTAGTGTTTTTCCAATAAATTTTACATCCCTGGCTGTTCCAGAGTTATTTTCCCTTTACTGAAATGTTGGGGGTGCGGGGGAGGGAAGGACGCACCCCAGTTAAAGGTACTTCAGAGGGAGAGGAACTCAGGACAATGAATAAAAAGGACCTGGCCAAACACTGGACCCTTCTGCTCTCTTATGAGCTCAGTTCTCAAAGTGAAAAGATTATGATATGTATACAAATAGGCCTGGAATCTGAAAAGATAGATCTGTGATTTGTTTCTAACATTCTGCATGTCTACCAACTTCAGAATCAGCCAAGATGAGCAGATACAAGAGAGAAAACTCTGGCTTTGTTTTAGAGCCTTAAACTAGCTTCGTACTTATTAGGGATTATTTGTGCTAACAGGCTGAATTCCAAGAAATAAAACCCTATTTGAGATAGCAATTACTTGTAGCTGGCATCGTATGTAAAGACAAAATGGAACAGGGAAAACACGGGAGGCTCTCAGCTGACTTGAGAACATGCTTTGGTCTTCCTCGTGCACCTACAGGTCTTCTTTTACTGCTCTTCCCAGACACAAATACTTTGGATTTTCCAAATTAAAAAAAAAAAAAAAATTTAAAAATTAAAAAAAAAAAAGAGGTCTGCTTTTGATCAGGAAAGTGACAAAGAGGTAAAGAAAGAGAAGTGCCAGTAACATTTCAGGTCCAAAGGTGGCTTCTAATGCAACTAAAGAAGAAGTGACTCATATTTGGCTTCAGCCTTTACCTGTGCCACACTAAATAATTGCAGTTTTCAGGAAGGTGCAAAGCACAAAAATCAATTTTGTTAACTGAATATTCATTTAAGCTTTTGGATACTTTTAACTGCATCAGAAACTCCAATCAGAAGATAAACACAATATCGTACTAACTTATTAAAAAGTGTAATTCCATCTAAAATGGTTTTAGAAATAACAATATTTTTAACTTGACAGTGTTCCTTGCATTGCAAAAGGTCTCAATGCACAACCAATTTTTAGATGGATAAGCAAACAATCTGCTGAGGATTAATTCCGCCGCTAAGTCCATCTTGGTAGACTGGTCATAAAAAGCTTGCTAAGTTTTCATTATATCTATTAAAAAATTGCCTTACAATGATGAAGAAATATCCACTAACAGTAAATAGCAACATCACTGCAATATTATATTATATATACATGTATATATATATTTTTTAAATTTCTCAGGGCTTATCAAGATAAGTATACTCTTAATCCTCTTTATTTTACCCATCCCCCCACCCTCCTTCCCTCTGGCAATCACCAGTTTGTTCTCTGTATTTAAGAGTCTGGGTTTTTTGGTCACTTTTCCTTTGTTTGTTTCTTAAATTCCACATATGAGCAAAATCACATGGTATCTGTCTTTCTCTGACTTAGTTTACTTAGCATTATAACCTCTAGGTCCATCCATGTTGTTGCAATGGCAAGATTTCACTATTTTTTATAGCTGAGTAATATTCCATCATATGTATGTGATTGTGTGTATGTGTGTGTTATACACAAACCCCACCTCTTCTTTATCCATTCATCTATTGATGCCACTTGGGTTGCTTCCATATCTGGGCTATTGTAAATAATGTAATAAACATAGGGGTGCATATATCTTTTCGAATTAGTGTTTTTGTTTTCTTTGGGTAAATACCCAGTAGTAGAATTATTGGATCATATGGTAATTCTGTTTTTAAGATTCTGAGGAACCTCCATATTGTTTTCCACAGTCACTACACCAATTTCCATTCCTACAACAGTGCATGAGGGTTCCTTTTTCTTCATATCCTCAACAACACTTGATATTTCTTGTCTTTTTGATTTTAGCCATTCTGACAGGTGTAAAGTGTTATCCCATTGTGGTTTTATTTTGCATTCCCCTGATGATTAGTGATGTTGCGCATCTTTTCATGTGTCTGTTGGCCATTTGTATGTCTTCTTTGGATAATTGTCTATTCAGGTTCTCTGCCTGTTTTTATTTATTTTTTCCCCATATTCACACTCTGAATGTTTATTATTCAGACATAAAAAAATAAAATTGCCAACCCACATTGTTATTAAATAATAGAGATGCGTTATTTTAAAACCGCCATCGTCTTTAATATATGGGTGTATTATTTAAAAAAATAAGAGGAGCACACACATATAGTCAATTGCTTAGAGACAGTTACTTCCTTTCAAAAATGGGGAGGAAAAGCTTTTTTTTTTTTTTAAATTTTATTATGTTATGTTAATCACCATACATTACATCATTAGTTTTTGATGTAGTGTAGCATGATTCAATGTTTGTGTATAACACCCAGTGCTCCATTCAGTATATGTGCCCTCTTTAATACCCATCACCAGGCTAACCCATCCCCCCACCCCCTCCCCTCTAGAACCCTCAGTTTGTTTCTCAGAGTCCATAGTCTCTCATGGTTCGTCTCCCCCTCTGATTTCCCCCCCTTAATTTTTCCCTTCCTACTATCTTCTTTTTTTAACATATAATGTATTATTTGTTTCAGAGGTATAGGTCTGTGATTCAACAGTCTTACACAATTCACAGCGCTCACTATATCTCTTGCCTGTTTTTAATCAGATTATTTGTGTTTTTTTGGTGTTGAGTTGTATAAGTTCTTTATATATTTTGAGTATTCACCCCTTAATGGATATTTGATTTGCAAATATCTTCTCTCACTTGGGGGTACCTGAGTGGCTCAGTTGGTTAAGATTCCA